TATGGGAATCATGGATGAAGTTCTATTTTTCTTCTCTTGTTAGCTTAGACTCCCTGACCCTGTCAACATTGATACTCCATGACAGCAAGACAGCCTAGATCATTCTGCACACCTTTTTTTTTTTTTGTCTGTTCTTTGTCACTCGAGTCAGTGTTGGAGTGCCCTGGGTTTGGGGCAATGCCCTGGCACAATGGTACCTCCTAGGCCCTTTACTCCGCTTCCCTACCTCCTTCTCTTTTCCCTCTCCTGGGGGTTTTGGTGGTCCATAGCCAATATTTGTACATCCCCCTCTCATTTTTTTTTACACTTTCAAGTTGCTGCAGTTGCAGACTTTGGTTGCTCTTGCTCCCACTGAATGTTTGTGTTACTGTAGTTGCTATAGTTATGTGTCTGTATCTGTTTGTTAACGACATATGCTGTACATTATCAAGCACCTTCTGCTTTATGAAATAACTTATTCAGTGCTTGAATACTCTGTATGCGGTAATTTTTTCTGAAACTATACATAGATACCTATTACCAAAGATAACTAATAAAATTTGGCAAATGATAAAAATTACACCTTGAACCTCCTGGTTGCTAGAGGCTACACTTCCAATTGTCATTCAGTTTTTATATATAAAACAAAAGTACTGAAGCAGGTCATATACAGGCCATCCCTGAAAATTCCCAACTTGACCACACACATAGGAGAGAATGCCCCTGTTGCTTCTAACATGACTACAGATTGGAAGGGTCAATAGGTGAACGCACATGGAGGACAATAGTGGTCATTTGTGGCCAATAATTCTGGCCCTTTGTGAGGAAAACAGGCCTTTGCAATGACCAACACAGTCGATAATGGTCACATCAGTCTTGCTGATTGCCAGGAAATCAGCCAACCTTGAACAAATAATTCTCTGTAATGGTGCTGTTATTGGTGATAAATTTGCAGCACGTGTATACTAAATCAATCATATATTTAGAGGATGAACTTGTAAGATCTAAGATGTATCCTTATTCTAAGCACTGAATTGTTAAAGTATAACTAAAAGCAAAACTTTTTTTCAGTTTTGAAGTGGAGATGGATTATAACACCTATTAGATTATTATTGCTACATGCCCCTGTTAGGGAGATTCACCCTCTCTATTTGTCCTGTTTACCATTGTCATTGAAAGTCAAAGTGAAAGAAATTCCCAAATTTTGGGTTGTTCCCAGAAGAGTAATAGAGGAGAAATCTTCCAATGGGGACACTCGTTTTGGTGACCTGGGGAGCCCCAAGGGATTCCCTAAATTTGCAGGGATTTATTCCCACTTCCTCTTTTGACTATGGGATGGGAAGTGACAGTATTTCACCCCAAGGAGGCAGAGTAACCCTCCCTTACTCTTTCTAAACTGAAAAAAAAATTGCCTTTGGTTCTACTTTAAAACTAATAACCACAGTATACATAGAGTATACACACAATTAACCCACCAAGCATACACAAATATGCAATTCCACTGGACTGGGCTTTTTTCTGTGGGGCCACATATTTGCGTATCTGTCTTTGTGCTGGGAGCGCGCCGTGCAGCGAAACCCCAGCACAGAGACCGGGATCTCACTGAAAGCCCTGGGTCCCGTACTAATGATTGGCACCCCGAACTCCCAATTGTGGGTCACCTGTTCGCTGTGGTAACCTTATTTTGGCTATCATAATGATCAGTCACTGTGAAGCCTGCCCTCGTGTTTGTCTATCTCTCTTTCTCTCTCTCTCTCTCTTCTCTCACAATGTGTTAAAAAATAAAATAATAATAATTAAAAAAAAAAAAAAATTGAAAAAATACCTAGATCAAGATCAGTGCCAGGGTTAGTGTTTGGGTCAAGTTCAGGGTCAAAGGCCAAGGTCAGGGTCAAAGGCCAGCGTTAGTATTTTTTGGGCAGGATTTTTTTTAAAAATTTGTATCAGTGTATTTTAGGTAGGGTAAAAAAAAAAAAGAAGCAAAATGAGCACTGTTGGTTCTGGGCTATACTACGGGTAGAGACAACTAACATACACATATGTGGTATTGTTGAGATTGTCAGGAGCAGAATTTATTTTGGGTTGTTCTTTGGAGGTAGGCTATGGTAGTAGCAAGAAATATACAGCTATATTTAAAAAAATTGTTTTTTTTTTTTTACTTTTTTTGGGCCAGTTTTCCTTTGATAAGAAAAAAAAATCAGGAGATACTCATTACCAATGACCACCAAATGAAAGTCCATATTATCCTGAAAAAAACAAGGTATAATCCACCTGGATGCACAAAGCAGTTATAATATGTACGGTTTTACTAACACATGTCAAAGTTGCAAAAGTGTGCTTAGGCATTAACATTTGTTTTACCCTTACATGTGGAGTTAATCAATAATCAAATCCATTAATTTCTTCCCTGGCTTTTAAAACAGCAGTAAACTGCAGTAAAGGAAACAAAAAAAGTCCCCTGCAAGGTAATGTCATAATGTGCTAGTATGCATCGCATACTAGCACATTATGTAAAACGTACCTTACAACAAAGTCCTCCAACGGCGCTCTGTCACCGCTGCAGAGGCATCCATCTTCATCCAGTCTTCCTTCCGGGTTCACAAGCTCATGCGAATGCACACGGGAGTCCCGGTCCATGGCACACAGCTCTGAAGGAATGGTACTGTTCCTTCAGAGCATATGCGCCAGCTTTAAAAAAGAGAAAATATCTCCTAAAGAGTGCACGTTTGGGAGATATTAATTTTACCTACAGGTAAGCTTTATTATAAGTTTACCTGTAGATAAAATAAAAAATAAATAAACGAGTTTACTACCACTTTAAAGTGAATTTCATATTTCAGCAAAAATAAATATAATTGGTGTTGTTTTCAATTTTATACAGATAATGAAAATGTAATTATAGATGAACTAAATCATTTTTAAGTCAGCTAATTTTTTTCAGTTAACTATTTAAAATGAAAATGCATATTCCCAAAGCACACTTTCCTGCAAGAAATGGCTGTATGAATAGGTGGGTGTTGCAACAACCGTCGGCTGGAACTTGCCTGATGAAGGGCTCCTACGAGACTCCGAACCGTTGCCTTGCTGTAACTATGTAAACCTTCATTAAACCCCATTTGGACCCATGTTGGAGATCCTAGGTGTGCCGGTGACATTTCTCTCTGTTAACTATTTAAAAGATGCAAATTCAGCCACGCACTTCAATAATACTGTTGGACACTTTCTAAATTGTGTACCCTCTGAAATGTTTCTTGTATCTTGTTCTGTTACAGTGTTCTGTGTTTTAACTGTGGTGATGGCCTTCCTGTACTTGCTTGTATCCGCATGAACTGACACCCTCAGTTTAGTTAGCAGTGTCTGTAAAAGTTAGTGTTCTGGAGAGCACAGATCTATGCTCTCCACAGACTTGGCACTCTACAAATCAAATCAGGCTTTTGATGTCAGTTCATTTATGTAGCAGGCTGGAAATGAGCTGTACTCCATTAAAGACATAATTCCTCCAAATACGACAGCTGTAGAGGTTACCGAAAAGCAAAAGCACTCAGCCATGGAGCTGTTTATTTATGGATTTCAGTGTTTCTCTCACTATTGATAGAGAACAGTTGAAGATAGTCCTCAAACTGCAACAAGCTCAACAATCAACTATTGTAAAAGGCACAAAAATTGTATTTTAACAAGTTAAAAGTTTCAAGAGAAAAACCCCTCCATGTATTTGTAAGTACCAGATGTATATTTTATAAAATAAGTAAAAATTATATTAAATATTCACATTGGGTATGATAATCTTTTGTTAAGCAATCTTCTGCAGGAATTCTTCAATATAGTACTTTGGCTATGTAGCTATGTTCATCACGTCAGTCACTCCTGAATTGCATTGGCCATGGTGCACAGCACACATTGGGGTTGATTTACTAAAACTGGGGAGTGCAAAATCTGGTGCAGCTGTCCACAGAAACCAATCACCTTCCAGTTTTTATTATCAAAGCGTAATTGAAGAATCTGAAGTTAGAAGCAGACTGCCTTCCATGCACAGCAGCACCAGATTGTTCACTCTCCCGCTTTAGTAAATCAACCCCATGTATTGCTTTCTGATTTTAAAGGGTTCCCCATTTTCACTGAAAAAGCAGAAAACCCATTCAGTCCCGTAGCCATATGTATTTTAAATACGGGTTAGAATTTCACTTTCAGTTTTGTTTATTGGCTATTCTTTCTGAAATAATCAGGATCAATATCTAAGCACAGAAGGAAATGTAATCTGATCCTACTATGGATCTTACATTATTGGGCCATATGTTTCATATGGTGTCTGCTTCAAAAAGTGGTGATCAAAGAAAATAGTGATAAGGAATTTTCAGATTCAGAGCCCTAGTCTGGCCATTTTTTTAGTTTTGGTTAATGTAAGGAAAGGCTTATGATCTCTTTCAGGTTTTTATTGCCATTTGGATCCTTTTTGGGAGATTTTTCTGTGTCCTTAAAATTATATTAACCTCCCTGGCGGTATGATTATTTCAGATTTTTGGTGCTGAAAGCTGTGGGGTACCATTATTTTGCATGGAAATTTGGCGTTTTATATTGTAGGCCTGTAATCCTTAGGAATAACTCACTGAAATCTGTCTGAACAAGAGTTTAGTAAACATCCCGGGTATGATAAAACTTGAAACACAAAATCATAAATTATAATTTAATAAATAATCATAAAAAATAATAAAATAATAATAATAAATTTACTTCAATAATATAATCAAACCAAAAACAGTGAAATTTGAAATATAGCGCCAAGTTCGCGCATCGCTGAACTCAGTCCCAAAATCGTTTTCAGTGTCTGATGACGAATTTCCCCACGAATCATTATCACTCAATTCTGCAAGTAGTTCTAATTTACTATTGCTGTTCTCTAGCTGGTCTAAAACCGCTTTTGACCTAAAGGGACGCTTTTTGGATGCCATGGACTTTTCTCAGTTTCCAGGCAGAAAGAACAGTAAAAATGAAGGCAGGGCACAGGACAAAGCACTAGGGACAAAATGTATGTGAAATGGTTTTGTACAGTAATGTTTTACTATGTGATTTTAGTGATTTTTGTGAATGTCACTTTTTGTCATTTTCAAATTTCCCGCCGTTCCGTCCCCGTACGTCCCGATGCTTGCAGAGGACGGAACCCAGATGACAGATGCCGGCAGCTGCCGGATTACATTGCCAGGGACACTGCAGGAGGGACATCGCGGGGAGCACAGGACAAGGTAAGTGACCGAGGGATCGCGGAGCAGCTCCGCATGGAGTGTAGCTCGGGGTTACCGCTTGTGGTGCTGAAACTTTACCCCAAGCTACACTCGGGAATACCGCCAGGGAGGCTACAGGTCATATTTACCTGCTCTGTGCAATGGTTTTTGCACAAAGTAGCCTCAATCCTTCTCTTTTGGGTCCCCTCTGATGCTTCTGCCTCCTCCTCTCCACAGTACGCCCACCATAGGAAGCCGCTTCCTATGGAGGCACGCGTACAGGCTAGACACACAGCCGTGCCTAGCCTTGCCCCCCGTGCTCATTTTTTGACTGACAGCAGCAGGAGCGAATGGCTCTCAGCCAAGCCAATGAGAGACGTGATAGCAGAGAAGGGCTGCTGCAGAGTGCACAGCACTGGACCAAGATTGGGGGGAGGGGCTCGCAGGGGGGAGCTGCACTTAAAAGGTTTTTTAACTTAATGCATTCTATGCATTAAAAACCTTTTACCTTTACAACCACTATATTACTGAGACAAGAAACGAAGGCAAGTTTCTTGAACTGAGACACAACAGCAATAAAATAACCATTTTTAGTAAAGGGTGTTTCACATTATAAATGAGACAAACAGTAAGAGGAGGTCTCTTTAATGAATACACGGACAGCAGTAAAACCCAACAGATGTTCTACCTCTCTTCTACTCTATCCAAAACAAAAAAAAAGAAAAACCAATGGTGGCCATAGATGGATCAAAAATCAGCCAGTACAGCAAGGACTGGACACATTTTGATCCAACTATGACCATTCCCACTACAGAGAACTTGGTCTAAAGATCTTCTTCTCTTGAATGGGACTGTTGGAAAATTCTCGTGCTATCAGTGCTGATCAGTGTATTCTGAAAGAGGAGGAGTCTCTGCTGTCAAAATTCAATAGCGCAGCATGGAGGATTCCTCCATCCACCTTGATTGTGTGGATAGGGAAAACTGTTTGTTTTTTTCTATCACTCCGCCAGCTGATTAAAAAAAATAAACAAAACAAAAAAAAAAGCAATCCATCTATGGCAAGCTTAGGAACATTTTGCCTGGAGTTAGTAATAATTGTAACAATGCTAACAATTTTTTTATGGTCACTTCATTTTCCACACCACTACTTCCATTAAAAAAAGGTTTGGTAAATTTTGAAGGCTTTCCCGAAATACTCTGGATGACTCTGTTCTTTTTGCACTTTTTGACTCTGTTCTATATTAGTGTATCATTGCTATTGCTGATAAGAATGATGGCATCTGAACAAGCTGACTATAGGTCAGCAGACTGATGGAGCCAGTTGATTGCTCTTATTTTATTTAATACAATGGAGTCCCTGAGAGATGTGAGAAACCATTAGGTGATTTAACTCTACAGAATGCACCCAAAACTATTGAGAGGGATGACCCTAACCTCTAGTAATTTCATGAAAACTTTTTTTTTTTGTTTGTAAAACCCATTAAGTTGGTTGGATGTTGCAGATTATGATATAATTGAAGCTGAATTGTAGGCAGATAAAAAACACATGCAAGGAGGTTGGTTTACTAGAGATTATTCAATTGAATTGGGTCTTTCACTTTAAAAGCATTTTTCCTTAGTTAAGTGAATGTGGTGAAAATTCACTTTGGAAAGAATACTCAATTAGACGCAAGAAAAAAAAAAAGAAAGTTTTTTTGCAGACACATAATTGGATGATTGATATCAGAGATCTTCACCTCATTCGCTAAACTAAGAGAAAATCCCCTTGCAAATTTGCCTTTAGTAAATCAACCCCAGTTCTGTGTTTATTAATATATTTTTTTTTTTTTTTATACAATCAGTGTAAGTACCTCAATTTGTCTTGATATCAGTGTGCTGCAGTCCATGTAGAAGAAAGTTTGAAGTGGTAGAGGAAGAAAAAGAACAATGAGTCAAACATTTCATGCTGGTAGGAGGAGACAGCAGGATGACAAAAAGATGTGCTTGCCACTGATCTGCTCCTTCTTCACTGTCCTATTGCAGACACTTGGTGGGTTCAGAACACCCTGGAAGAGGGTATAATGATGATGGCTGAGGGCATCTAGTGGCTCAAAAGAGGTACTGTGTAGAACAGTCCAGATTGAAGCAAAAACTGCTTTTAATTTTTTTATTTGTGACTAGAAATCTGCTTTAAAGTATAGCTAAAGCCAACACTTTATTTTTTAGATTTGGATAGAGTGGAGGGGGATTAGAACACCTGTCAGGTTTTTATTGCTTCCTGTGCCCCTGTTAGGAAGAAGCACTCTTTCTATTAGTCCTCTTAACCATTATCTTAGAGTGAAAGTAAAAAAATCCCAAACTTTGAGTTGTCCCCAGAACAGAAAGAGTGAGGATATTTTCCAATGGGGATACAAATTTTGAGGACCTTGATGACAACTAGGGATTCCATCACTTTAGAGGGATTTTCTCTCACTTCCTGTTTTGGGTATTGGACAGAAAGAGAAGGGAAATCTCTTCAATGGGACACAGATGGCAAAGTGAAAAATTGCCTCCTGGGATTGTCATTGTTCTCTACATACACTATATTGCCAAAAGTATTGGGACACCTCCCTTTACACGCACATGAACTTTAGTGGCATCCCAGTCTTAGTATGCAGGGTTTAATACTGAGTTGACCCACCCTTTGCAGCTTTAACAGCTTTAACTATTCTGGGAAGTCTGTCCACAAAGTTTAGGAGTGTGTCTATGGAAATGCTTGACCATTCTTCCACAAACGCATTTGTGAAGTCAGGCACTGATATCGGACTGGCTCGCAGTCTCCACTCTAATTCATCCCAAAGGTGTTCTACTGGGTTGAGGTCAGGACTCTGTGCAGGCCAGTCAAGTACCTCCACCCCAAACTCGCTCTTCATGTCTTCCCCTCCACCAAACTTTACACTTGGCACAATGCAAGGCAAGTACTGTTCTCCTGGCAACCACCAAACCCAGACACATCGATTGGATTACCAAACAGAGAAGTGTGATTAATCACTCCAGAGAACACGTCTCCATTGCTCTAGAGTCCAGTGGCGGCGTGCTTCACACCACTGCATATGACACTTTGCATTGCACTTGGTGATGTAAGGCTTGGATGCAGCTGCTCAGCCAGGGAAACCCATTCCATGAAGCTCTCTATGCTCTCTGTTGTTGTGTTAATTTGAAGGCCACATGAAGTTTGCAGATCTTTAGCTATTGACTCTGCTGACAATTGCCGACTTCTGCGCACTGTGTGCTTCAGCATGCGCTGACCCTGTTCTGTCATTTTACATGACCTACCACTTCCCGGATGAGTTGCTGTTGTTCCCAGTTGCTTCCACTTTGTTATAATACCACTAACAGGTGACCGTGGAATATTTAGTAGCAAGGAAATTTCACGGATGGACTTATTGCACAGTTGGCAACCTATCACGGTACCACGCTTGAATTCACTGAGCTCCTGAGAGCGACCCATTCTTTCACAAATGTTTGTAGAAGCAGTCTGCATGCCTGGGACCTCAGGGATGTTTAATTTGAATCGCCCAACGCCCAGGACATGTAGTTCTGGGCATCAGGCAGGTAGCTTTTCTCAACCTTTAGCCCTGCTGTGGGCAAGCAGCAGGGTTCACCTGTCAGGTGGAAGCATTCGGGTGGCAGCGCGCTGCCGCCCGATTGCTTCCACACAGTCCACAATGCCAGCCTCCACCCCCCCCCCACGTGTGAACTTCCCTTGGGCCCAGGACTGGCTCAGTGTGTGCCAGCATCTAGAGGGTAGGGAGGAAAGAGAACACGTTCGTTCCCCTTCCCTTCTTGTCCTGACCCGGAAGTGACATCATCATTTCCAGTTTCCCTTTCACAGATTCCCGGCCTTACTCATGAAAACATTGATTGCGATACACACGTTACATATCGTCGCACACGCCAGAATGAGAGCAATAATTATAGCACCAGATCTCCTCCATAATGCTAAACTGATGACCTATAAGGGTCTTTAAAAGGGTCGCCTATAAAAAAATATAGGGTACTGAAGTTTGTGTCCATTTCACGAGTGCACACAAATTTAAGGTTTGACATGTTGGATATATATTTACTCAGTGGGACCTCAACTTTTATATTTTACAAAAAAATAGGGCAACGAATTGCTTTTTTGTGCCCTACAATTAATTTTGTGAATTTTTTACTGAAATTTTGCGTTTTCTAGACTTTTGCGGTAATATCATGCAACATAAAAAATTTTAACTACCACTATTTTATTCTCTAGGTTCTCTGATTTAAGAAAATATATAATGTTTGGGGATTTTGTGTAATCTTCAAGCCCAAAATAATTTTTTAAACGTATGCAAAAAATGCAAAAATGGCTCTGGCAGCAAAAAGGATGCAGGATAAGCCCGGCACTCCCCTTTCCTGACAAGCACCCAATCAGCTCATCACACTGCAAGGTCTCTCTCCCCCCTGCTAGTTCCTGGGGGCGGTCCTGGAGATAGGCAGGGAGTGGAGGAGGAGATAAAGCGGCGTGATGTTAAAAAAAATTATACGTTTAAGTCGGCATAAAGCCCCTTTTGATTTTAAAAGCCAGACATTCCTAACAGCACCAAATTGATTTTTTTTTTTTGATCAGGACAAGTAGATTGTCATGAAGACAAGTAGACTGGGACACCGATTTAGTCCCTGGAGAAGTAGTTTTTTCAAAAATGTCCACACCCCTGTAGGTGCTTGATTTTATACACCTGTGGCCATGGAGGTGATTGGAACACCTGAGTCCAATGATTTGGAAGGGTGTTCCAACACTTTTGGCAATATAGTGTAGTTACAAGTTCTGCAGTAAATAAACTTGTTTATATCCCAGTCATAGAATAAATTACACAGGAGATTTTTCATTTTTGAGCAGCTTGACCTTTACTTCCTATTTATGACAGATTGGCTATAAAGTGCTGCAGATTAAATATTTGACAGTAAGGCCTTAATCTCAAGCTGTTTAGTAACACTTTAAATATATTATGTGTAGTTTTTTTTAATGACTTTGAGTTTGTTGCTTCCATACAGCAAAGAAGAACTTCATATGAGCTTACTTCCTGCAATGCAAAAAACACATCAAATCTCTGTTTTTTTCTTTGGCTGATTATTACCAAGTGTGAAAGTGAAATACAGCTAATAGATCTCCACTTTCTAGCTCTGCTCTGCAGATTGTGGCAGATGGGGACATAGAGTGAATCCATCTATCACAGGTTGTATCTAGCTCAGAAACATATCACAGCTGCTCTGAAAACATATGAAATGCAACCACCGAAACTGTTGACAAAAAATCATGATGACAATATTATTTAAAACATTTTAGGTGTTTACTTTGGTTTAATGTGCACCCACAGACTGTTCCTAACTTGAACAATTCCAAGTAATGGGCTGTGTGGTCTGGGAAATATCAGCTAATTAAAAGGTTAACAAAAATAAGCACATGGTACAAACCACTGAACATTCTAATTCTGTTTATTTAGCATACAAAGTTCATTTGATCTGTCAGTAATGTCCCATGTCTAATTGGGTGAGGCCAACTCGTCTATTTATAGTCATAATAGAGGAAAATTACACTAACTACTTACATTTCTTAATACAGTTCAGTTTACTACTATCATATATTAAATACAATATAATATTTGTATCAGAAGCTTCTATAAATCACATTTTATTATCAAATCTAGGTTTAGAATAAACAATATCAAATCTAGGTTTAGAATAAACAATATATTACTTTTACATTTTACTTAAAAAGAACTGTTATTTTTAAAAAAAAAACAATGTTATTTTTAATAACTATTAAGTACTTCTTATAGCCTATTAAGAATAATATTATAATGATGATGATTATGATTATTCATAATACATATTTTATAATAAAAATAAAAGTGTACTTACAATACAAACATTATTACTAAGAAGACACCAGACTCACAATGATTAGGCATAAAAAGAGAATTTAAAAATCTTCTATATGTGTTTAAAGAAAAAACATTGAAGGACACTGAAGGAGTGTGATTTTATAAATACTAATCACAACTCAAAAACATTGTATACACTTTGTAGGTTTGGCCTGTAACATTGTTTATCAGACCTTTTTTCTCTCTATAAAATATAATAATTTTTGCAGCACTTATGAACAATCAGAGATTGTGTGATAATACTACTTCCAAACAAATAATAATAATAATAATAATAATCATCATCATTATCATATTCATCATCATCCACATTGACAGTTGCTGACAAACCAAATAAACCCGAAAGGGCTGACACAAATATTTCTTGAATGTGGTGATAATGTTCTAAGCAGAGCACGAAGGAATTTAAGCACAGTTCATCTAAAGAATTCCTTTTACTAAATAATCCGCTTAAGAACTGAATTTTGTTAAGTTTGAAACGCCTTAACATCCCAGCTCAAACGAACGTTTTAAACTGTGCAGAACACTGTCTGTAATGCCGGCATTCCTCACATGCAAGCAGCACATGGGACATGTCTTGTATGTGCAGTACACATGAATTAAGTAGATGATCCATAACCAAGCGCTATAGCAGCCGTTGCTCCCACTCCACACCAGTAAAAGTCTAAAAAAGATCAAGAGAAAGGAACCAATCTGCAAAAAAAACTAAAATATTCTTTTCAAAACAATATCCACACCTGTTATTTTACTAAGATATGTTGGTTTTCTCAGTGCAGCTTCTCTGTATGTTGAATATTGAAGGTTACAAAATTGCTGTCTGCACTGCATGACTTCAGGGGCAATGAGGGGCATGAGAGATCTAGTACAAATGTAAGCATCCAATCATGATGTTTCATTAGTTCAGTTTGGATGCTTATTGACTGACTGCTATTGCGTCTCAAAGTTTCCCATGTAAAGAATGTTTTTTTAATGTTCCTTTATGAATGAGAAGACCTATGATAAACAAAATCTGTTTTATGATGCAGTCTATTAATTATAAAGTCACTATTGCGACAGTCAAAATTGAGAATTGATTTTGTAAGCTGTCTGACTATATACTTGTTTGTGCTTTATAGAAGCTATGAGTGTAACCATAGCATGTATGACACTAAATTATTTAGTAAGTCACTACAGTGAACAGCGACTGAGTGTAAAGTGCACTTACCTCTTATCTCAAACAAACAGGTTTCAGGTTAGAGCACTCAACTCTATGTTTCAGATTAGAGCACTGAACTTTGCATTTGAACTACATTTTTTTCATTAAAAAAGAAATATATATATAGTTATTACAGGTACTTATATAGCGCCGTCAATTTACACAGCGCTTTGCATATACATATTTTGTACATTCACATCAGTCCCTAACCCTCAAGGGCATTCAGTCTAAGGTCCCTAACCTACATTCATACACACACATGCTAGGGCCAATTTAGACAGGATCCAATTAACCTACTAGCATGTCTTTGGAGTATATATTCTTTAAAAAGTTTCTGCACATTTTTTTAACACACACACATATATATATATATATATATATATATATATATATATATATAATATATATATAAATAAGTACGACAGTGTGTAAACTTTTTGAAGGCCCCTCATATATATACAAACCCAGGAACCGTGAAAATGCTTCCTTCCAAGTTGGCCTGTACCTGCACTACAAAGGTTATCTGCTCCTTTCTGTCTCTGGGACATAGAAGAGCAGATTTACTTACCTGATCCTCTGCTTCTGCTGGCTCCTCCATGCTGCTGGATCAATGCCTCTTCTTCACTATGCTCTGGTGGTCTAAGGTCCTAATGTTGTCAAGACTGATGCAGAGTTCATAGCCCTGCACCAGACATGGGAACCTGAGGGACAGTCCACCACTGCAGCTTGGGGAAGTACTATCTTGCTTTTACCATCCCATAGAAAACTTGGGAAACCCCAATATATGTTTGTTATGTATTCACATTTGTTCAGCATTCCCAAAAATTATTTTTACAAAAGTATCTCCCTTGTAGGTATTTCTTTGGGGCCAGTTCCTACATAGGGCTCTGTAGGCAGCTTGAAAGTAGTCAGATATGCCTGTAGTGTGCAATCATGGGACAGACTGAGGTACAGTTTTTTTATAATGTGTGCTAGCGTACCAACCAAGCCTTGAGATCTCTTACCTTTTGTTAGGACAGACAGCGTGCACATCTAGTTTACAACTGATAATGAAGATATATCAGCACAGTACAGACAGGGTTAATATAGTAAAAATTACTCTTCAGGCCCCCTCCTTGTTATTTAGATGGAAAAAGCTAGGTAGACTTTTGAAGCAAGTAAAATGTAATTAGCGATTTTATTTTATTTTTTTTTTTTTAAGTTATGCTTTGGAATGCAAACGCATAATAAATAAGTAATAAAGAAGGTGTTATCTCAATCTGGCTGCAAAAGTGGAAATATACTTTAAATATGATACATGGAATAAACACGTGCTTTTTGGCTCTTCAAAGTCCTGCTTCCTGCATGTTATATTGTTAGAAATATTTTGTTTTGGGTGTTCCCAGCTCAATTAATAGTTCAGAGCAGTTGTAGAACACAATACCAGCATCATCTCCTAATCCACACAATTATAGATGAGTATCTGAAACCCAGAAGGGCAGCTATAGAAAAGGTCCTTTAATGTAACAGCACTGACTGCACTAGGAAATTTTTCAAAAGCAAAGGTTTTGATTTTTGTCTTTTGTTTTTTTGTTTTTTTCTTCTTCTTCTTCAATGAACACATGTAGATTTTTTAGGGAAGAAAACAAATCACTGCAAGGTTTCAGTTTTGTTAAAGAGGGGGTATATTTTAGTCTGCAGAGCATGTCATGACTCCTCCGTTCTGTGCTCTCTTAGATTCAGAGTTGTGAAAAGTGTTTTTGCCTTGAGCAGTGTTACTTTATGCAGTATTATTATTTCCATAGGTGTTTTAATTTTAACCTCATGAACAGATTTGAACATTTTGAAACCAGCAGCCTTCTGGTATTAAAAGGATATTGTTTCACAGTCCAAACATAAACCTGGCTTTCTGCATTTCATCAAATGCTGATTCTAATGATTTGCACTTTATGAAATAAAGATTTCACAAGTGACTCACCTGTGGTTTTCAGGAGACTACATGTCTCTATTTTATGTAATAAAAAATATATACTTCATAATGAAATAAATGTGTTATGAGAGAAATACAGGGGCTATCACTGATGGTCTCTTTCTGAGAATGCTAGATGCCTGGCTGTGTCTGGCTTCCATAAGTCATGGACCTCATGGCAGGTGTACATCAAAGAGGTCCTGAACTGTGGAGGCTGTTCTAAAAAAAAGGCAAAAAAAATAGTCATCAGTATTGATTGTCGTTTCTTTGCAGATGATCTTTACCCCTTTACTGACTTACCCTGCTCTGTTATGTATTGTGTCTCTTTATGAAAATGACCATCTTGGTCAATAGGCAGGGCAGGGCTTTGCTTCCTCATATCAATATCAGAGCTGTCCCCTGATGACTGAAGGAAAAATATTAGGTCCCTTTCAGATGGGACAGACTCCATCCAAATCAGTGGGGGATCCACTCACAGATCCCCTGCTGATAGGAGCAAAGAGGGTGAATGACACATTAGCGTCCGCTAAGCTTCTGCAGGGCGGACATGGACAGAGCCTGCTCTGCTCTATGGGCAGCCAGGTGTAAACGGATGCCACTGTCCATTTCTATCCAAGTACCTTGCAATCCAATCCACCCCTTCCGTTCTTGATAGCTGAACAGAATGGACCTGGAGGTAGGTGGGTGGAAACAGACACAAAATCCATTTACACTAGCCTGTCTGTAGGGGTAAATGGACCATCCGATCAGGTTCCTCTGGAAAAATGACAGGTGGACCTGATCA